TTGCTCTTAAATAAGCATATTCTGAAAAAATAAATAGTTCTTATATATTAAAAAAATGTAAAGCTGACTAATATCTTCTCCATTATTAAACTGGTACATTCTCTTTTGAAGGTTTGTGACATCATATTGGACCATGCAAAACACAGATTTGCCTTCACAAAGATTCAGAAGGGAAAAATGTATGTAAAAAAAAAAAGGAAATCTGCACATTAAATTATGGTTTGTTTTTATAAAGTATTTTTATAATGTTTTTTTGTTGTTGGCATTCATATACATATATTTGTGTGATATCTTAATATATGTTTGATTGGTTTTTGGTATACGTCTGTTTTGAATTTATAGCTATAATTTTTTTTTTCATTTTCATTTTTTTATCAATAGGTTTTCATTTCTTGTGACAAGATATTAAAATATATTAAAAATAATATATTTTATAGTTTATTCAATTCTCTGATAATTACCTTTTAAGTAAGCAAAATGATGTCCCAAAAATAACATTTTACCCATATTCAGCTAAAGTTGTGCAAAGGGGTTAACATAAATGATCTTTTATTAATTCATTATAATCTTGCATCAAAACATTTAGAAAATGATATCTTTAAGTATTTTTTTTTTACTGTGGAGGAAAAACAAGAAAGAAATCTGAAATAAAAGAACATGTTATTGAAGCAAGGCAGATTTGCGCTGACTTCCAGACATTAGCAGGGGCTTTAAGGAAATAGCAACCTCAAAACATGTCTTCATATCTAAAGTCAGATATATAATTAGATCAATAATCATGGGAGAGTTAATTTCACCAAATGTGTTAGTTTTTTTATGTTTAATTAATCAATTCGACTGATTTTTAGTCATCTTAAGCAGGTGTGCAAATACATGTGAATGATGCTCTATGTAATCACTGCAGTCTTCCTGAAGCTTTGCTTCCATCAAAGTCAAGCCTCAGAGGTAGAACTGTATTGAATATTTCTTGAATAACAGCAAAACCTGCCTAAATTGCCAAAAGCAGAAGTTAGAATAATAAATCTGTTTCAGTAATCACATAAGTCATCATCTTTTTACTCTCTAGTGTGGGAACCACTCAGTTCCAAAATGGGGTCACTCTCTGCCATGACCTGAGGAACACCCTGCTTCTTTGTGGTGGAGGTGCTAACAATGAAGCGTAATTAGAAGCCATCATAATAATAGGTTTGCTGACCTGAATAGGTAAAGGTATGGTGCCTTAAGGTTTGTAAATTGACAAAAACTTGTGAAAGAGAATATGAGCAATGAAATAAACATATCAGATCAGAATATAGTGCCATAATTTGCTCACAGTTGTGTAGACAGACCAAGATTTATATCAGTGTAAGCACTTTAGGTTTGTTGTAATATCCTTTCTTGCATGAGTATTCCTATATCTCCAGTTTTCTCACCTCTATCTCTTTATCTCATCTCTGTAAGGCACAGAGAATCGATTAGGGCCACTGCAGCAGGATAACAGTGACGTTTATAGGTGAGTAAACATATAATGATCCTGTAATGACTCTTAATCTTGCCACACTGTCAGAGTAAAGGTAATAAAGAGGTCACAGGTGCGAAGGTGTGTATATGTTTATGCATGTTGTTCAATTGGTGCACAGTACAAAGGGCAGGCATGGGAAAATGAATCCCCTCCTACCGTGGGATTGTTGCTGGGTATCCATTAAACTCTTGCAGCTCCACCCTGAGCTGTTACACCTAAGGCAGCGTAGCAAAGGACAATTACAGATTAGACACAGCAGGATGGCCTCTCTCTTATGCTGTGGAAGCTTGTAAAGCAGATTAGGGACAACAACACCACCTCTCTCTCCTGTACTTTCCTCATCAACAAAACCACCCAAGTGACTCTAAGGTACAAAGGTTTTGCTGTCACACAGCAAGGTGTGTCTAACCTGTTTCAGGCTCTGCAAAAGAGGAAAAAATAGCAAAAATTTTCCATCTCTTTGTTCTTTTGGTTTAAAGCCCTTTTAATAGGGAAGTTCTAGGTATAAAGGAAATTTCTGTGACTGCTGCCTACACACCTATTAAGCCACTGGCTCCAAGAAGTCTATTGAACTTTTGTGCCATATTGAAGAAACCAAGTATTGGTTTTAAAAATATTTTTTTCCAGCAAAAAAAAAAAAAAATCTTAAAGTTATATTGCATAGTCTAAACAAGCACCAATCTTCAGTCTTATTTTGGTATAGTTAGCAAATGACACGTGGAAAACTCGTCAAGCAATCCCACTGTAGGCTTGTTAACCATCAAAAACAAGCTTATTAGACATTTTCTTGCTTAATAAAACACCAGAATAGCACAAATCTTTTCTAAAATGGTGAAAAATAAACAAATAGATATTATTAAAGTATTTTGTGATTCTGATCACCAGTATGCTTCATTATTTAAGCAGGAGCACGTGGATAATTGTATATATATATTTCCTTCGTAATTTAAAACAAGTGCTTCAATTTTTAACAATAATTTTGAGATTCTCAGTGTGATAATCTTTAGAGCTGCAACAAATGAATTACGTTCATCATCACAATATTATTGTATGCAGTATTAAAATCAAACAAAAGACTACTTAGACATAATATTTGGTAAAATATTTTATTTAAAGATATATTTTCCTCCCCTTGATAGTAATCCTTGATTTATATTTTGGCTACAGAGATGATAAAGAGATCAGAGAGGTGGCAATATTATGAAGAAGAAAATGAAAGAAAATAAAAGTTATACTAAAGATACTATAGTATACTATAGTTTTAGTTCCAAACATTGGAAAATTAATCCAGACCTAACAGAGAAGTTTTAGATGTAAACCCCTTCCTTCTATCCAGTCTGAGCTCAGCCTGAACTTGAAGTAAATAAATGTTAAGAGTGGGAACTCAATAATTAAAGGTTCATAGATAAGGTGAAAGAGATGTATGAAAGTTTAGAGGCAAACTAGGGTGTTTTTCCAGTTTTTGTTTAAGATGGATAGGATGTGGCCTGACCTCCCAAGCAGACAGTAGTGTGACCCAGGGGGTCAACAGGTCAGCGTTGTTGCTGCTAAGACCCCATATCTTTCTGAACTCACTGATTAAAACCTCTGACCTCTGACGTCCACCTCTCTTTTTATCTGTTTATGTCAAACTCTGCTCCCTTTCCCCTTCCTCCTTCCTCTTTGCATTCCTTGAACTTTGTATTGCCCTATACATGCTTCATCTTTTTTTGTTTTATCTCATATCTTCTGCTCAATATTTACCTGCCTTTCTACTGTCTCTTGCCATCCTGTTTTTGAAATATCTGTTCTTATGCTATTCTGCATCACCTCACCATCACCCTATCAGTTTCTACCCTTCCTCTGCCTGCTTGAATGTTTTTCTTTTCCCCCCCCAAAGTCTCAAATGAATGGTGTTTTTAACGGAAGAGTGTGGCAGACTGTTGCAAGGCCGGGGGGGCCGTTGTGTCACTGTAGCCGGCTGATTAATCCACCGCCGCTGTCTTCATGTTACGCCTGGTCCCTTAACTTTCCCTTCCTGTTGTTCTTCCCGTGTTTCTTTTCCCGAATTCCTTCTTTCACTCTCTCTGATTTAGTCCCAGCTCCCCTCTCCTCGACTCTCATTGTTCAGTGAATCCGTCCTATTCTTTCTAAACTTGATAAGTACTGCGAACACGCCACTGGGTCCATTCTGTCTCTGAGTTAATAGTCAAGTAAACACTAGATCAAACATCCTCATGTGCGAAAATATGTACAAGCATATGTTTTCTTAACTTCTACTTATCCAAAGCAGCTTTATTTTCTATATGTGGGAACGGCATGCTATAATATATTTGAAGCAAAAGCTTCACAGAGGTGACCAGCTGACATATTTAGGTGATTTTTTAGCAACACTCTTCACTGTGGATGATGTTACTGAATGAAGAAAAGTCAAAGCTTGCTATTTCCATAATTAGCACAGGGTTTGAACATAAAGTCAGAAGGACTGAATTTATTTAAAAGGAAACCATCTCCTATGTTGTTCCTGGAAGATGGTTAATAGAGTCATCCCCCAATTTGTATAACTGTCTTTGAAATGAATGCCATAGTATAGAGGATAGACTGTAGAAGCAGTACAATAAAGAAAAAATAAACATGTTAAGAACTACAAAAGAAGTTTGTTAGCGCTTTTTCAAAACATATTCAGTATTTTTTAATTAGGCTTATTGAGATTGGTTTGGTTTTAAAATTTGTGTTTCACTTGATCATATTTTCTTAAGTAGAATCTGCATTATCAGTCTTGATTGAGAAAAAATATATAAACAAATGCAGTGATTTATCATGTCCAAATGATGTTTCATATTTACATCCTGCCCCAGATGTAACTATGGCAACCATGGGCTGCTATAGTTACCTAGGGATGTGACATGAACCCGCTAGGAGGGGCTGCTGTGCAATAAAAGGACTTGGTCTCTTTGAGTGATCAGAGACAGGAGGGGGTCAGTTACAGTGAGCAGTTCTCATTAAGAAGGGGTCTAATTTTTCTCTGTTCTTCACCAACATTTATACAAGTCGTTTGTCACCTAAGAAAACAGATTAAAAAAAACTTTCCAGAGTCATGTACAAAGGTGCTTAATACAGTGACAAAGTTGCCAGTGTACAACATTTTCTGTATTTTCTACAGTATTCTGAGGCATTTCTGCAGTTATTTAAAGCTGTTAGGAAATGGAAGAGAGTAAGACTCCCAGTGTATATTAGTCCGTCTAAATAAATTATGACAATGTTGTTTTGTTATTATCTTTTTTTGTTTGTTCCATCTGCCATGGAAAATGCGGGATCTGGAAATGTTGGAGGTAATTTTGGAAATTTTTGAAATAATCACAGAATACATTCTGTCATTTTGGTAATTCTAGCCATTCTAACTGCTCTAAGTATTGATAGAGTAAGCTATTTCTTACAGCAAAGGGTCCACATATGACATGATTTTCCCGTTAATCCTGGTATGAATAATTAATGACTGAAGAATGTTGGTTACTAAAAAGTATTTTCTTAAAATAAAATGTATGTTTTCAAATTCATAAGGATTTATTGAATACATGCATGTGCTGTAAGTGGAGCATGTCTTTAAGAAACCCCAGCAGTGAGAGGCAGTAGCACAAGCACACCTAACTATTTTTAAATGGACAAACAAAACTGACAGCCGGAGGGATCTGGAGATCCCTTACTCCACCTGACTGATCAGTTAACAATAATACAACACTTTGCATGCAATTAAATACATTTATAAGTTCCATCCTCATGTGGCTCATCTCCTTGGTCTGGGATGCTTGGAGGACTCAGCGTCATCAGTGCTTTGTGGTTTAAAGGAGGAACCTGTTGAGGCGCAGCGCTTCACCAACATCAGTGGAAACACTGACATGTCCAACCCACAGCCGCTGAGAGCTCAGAGACTGCTCTCGTTATGCGTCTGACAGCTAAAGCAATGTGGATCACAGAACAAAAAAAGAGAGCTCTGCTTTTTGCATTAAATCTGATGAGTGTTAACACTGAGGGCCAGTTCATGCTGTGCATGCTGAAGCTGTGGTGAGTTAGAGTCTTTGAACTCATAATGGATGTTTTATTCTCTTATAGGGTGCTTACCAGGATAAGATTTTGATTGAGTTAAAAAAGAGGCTGAGGGGAGGGTTTGCATGAGTGTGTGTTTTCCCCTGAGTAGCTAATGGTTTCAGCAGTGCTGTTCCTGTGGCCTGTTGCATGACGGATTGATGTGTGCGAATGTAAGGATGGAGTACTCACGTCCAGGTGTGGTGGGATGTATGCAGAGTCCATGGTATATCCTTGAGCTCCAGTGTTACGATCCCTTGCCTCGTGCTCTCGCTCCTTTGGACGGAAAAAGTCAGAGTGGACTAATTACTCTGTCTCTGTCTGCCCCTCTGAGAACAAGCAGACTAAGTGTTTAATGTCCCTATAGGTATCTCTGCTAGCTCCATGTTTTGCTTTCCCCGCTCAGATTCTCATCCTGTTCTTACTGCAAGATAAGCAAACCTCTAAAAACATCAACCGGCTTCTCTCTCTTTACCTGCCTGATCTTTGCTGGTAACCACCACCCTTTGTTATTCCCTAGCACTTCTAGCGCTTTTCTAAAAAGTAGCTGATTGTGACAAGAGAGGAAAAAAAAAAACGAGGTATGTGTGTCTTTAGTTGTATCACCAGCAATAACTCCCTTGTTTCTAAACGTCCTCACTGTGTCTCATTTCTTTCCTCTCCACTCTGTTCCTTCCTTTTGTATCTCCTCCCCCTTTCCTCCCTCTCTTTCTATCTCTCTCGCCAACACACACACACACACCTCTACACACCCACAAACTTTTTTCCCTTGTGCTCTACAATTAGTTTAAGTCTTATTTTTGTTGAGAGTCAAATCTTCAACTAAATTGGGGTCCTAATGACTCTTTTTCAAACAAATCTTCTAACTCACGCACTTTAAAATGAAGCAAAACACACTGATTTAACCTGCACACTAACTGGTCAAGATAACCCTGGGGGTCAGCACACACAAACACACCAAGTGTCCCTCCTTTAACAAACTCACCTGCTGGGTTTCATTGGCAATATTTGACTTTTTCAGCCAGCATGCTCGCAGACCGTCCCTCCGTCATTATAAATACCCGTGACAATCAGAGCGAGGAGACTCAGTTACTAAACAGAAGTATGAATGGATGACTCATGAGAGCTGCCATGAAGTCACCACAGTAAAGGGATTTGATTGGATCAAAGTAAAAAAAAAAAAAAAGAAAAAACAGGACTGCTGCTCTTCTTCATGATGGGCATAAACAAGGTGCATCCGTCCTTCCCGAGCAGAGCAGGCGGGTGGGGATGAATTTGTATTCATGAGGTAAGCCCATGAGAAAACGTCTCTTTAGGATGCATGGTCTCTCATATTAGATCTCATCTGGAGAATCACTCACCCACGTCCCTCAGCTCCTCCTTCCTTGTCCCCTCCACTCCCTCTTCTAGTCCAGTCTTGTACAAACACACACACACACACACAAAATTCAGCCAAAGACCTCATTCATCCTCAGATGGACTGACTGTCCCCCTGCAGTGAGACACAGGCACACAGAGACACACTTAGGCTCAGGAAATTCAAAGGTTTTTAAAGAATTTTAATAATCACAGAATGATAAAATTAAATCAGAAATGTGTTACATTGCTTGTAGATCATTGACCTCATTAATGATTCAGACGTGCTGCTTTGACCTTCAAACATTTTAGTTTCTGATCCATGTTGTCTGTATCTAATGATAAACCTATTTTATTTGGAAAAACCTTATGCACAAACCAGTATAGACCAGTACAAGAAGCATTAGTCATTGAAGTTTCACAATGGATATATACAATCACAGAGACAGAAAAGGAGCAACATTTACTCTCTCTTAACTGTTGTCCTTGTTTTTCAAAACCGTTTCATAAAACTGTGTCAAATACAGCAGAAAACCCTTGAAAACCATGTGAATTTTAAAGGCATCAGCAGTGTCAGCATTTTCCCCATTGATTATGTTCTAAAATGCAACTCATTCTGGATGAAGCAACTGTATAGATTACCCTTTGACCGCACCTCGGATTGAGTCAGCAAGCAAAGATTCAAGTAAATCCAGGTAGGTGTCCCAGGCTGCAGTTTTCTTCACAGCATATGTCCACTTACAATCTATATTTATTTTCTACATAAAATGACCTCATGAATATGGATGAAGGAGGGTTCATCTGACCACAAGGAGCAGGAGAGGCTGGACTTTGATTTGCCATTGAGGCATTGTTACGTGTCACGCCAGGTGGCAATGGGACGATATTCTGGAGTTACCCCAGCATCATGCCACACTGGGGCAACAACACTCAGCAACCACTGATATTTTAAAGTTATCTTTCAAATATTAAAACTTCAACAGGAGAGTCATGAGCAGACAAGGCCTCCTGTCTCAATCACTGTGTAGGACAATGTGAGTTTTGGCTTTGCCATCCATGTCAGACTGTGGTTTAATAACAACTTAGAATTTATTAGTATTTTCCTTCCACCATTCTCCCCTTTCCACACTCAACAGAGAAGTTCTCGTCTTCATGGCAGTGGAAGGTTTATGATCTGTAACCCTACAACAGGGGAAATCTCTGGGAGGCCTGAGATGACATAATGGTGGAGGATTGCCAAGCATGGATTCAGCATATCAAAAGGTCCTTCCCATGCTTCCTGGTGAGGGGGAATATGGCCTGTGATGTAGAGGAGATCCTGTGTGCTGATCCAGCATGATGACTTAATGCTATTTATTAGATACTATATAACTAAAAAAACAACAAACACAAACCATGGTTGGTTTGTTGTTTTATTTGCTATAGCAAAGGAGTTTTATAAAAAAATCTTTCTTAGTTATGTTAAAAGGGTTAATTATCTTATTAATCTGTTTTCTTTTCTCTATGCTTTATACCATTACATTAGTCATTCCATCAAGCTTGGAGAAAATATTTAGTTATCATGAAAACTCAAATGTCTTCATGGTTTCAGGATGACAATTAAAATGATTTATTATTAATATAATGACTGTCCAATGATGTAAAAAAAAACTGATTGAATAGGCGTCTAATTTGACACCATTGTTGGGTTTTGAACCCTATTTAAAGGGTTTTGGAGCAATAGTTTGGTTCTGCAGGAAGATTCTGAGGTTTTGTGAATGTGGTTTAAGGTTCTGGCATAACTAATTCAGATAATTAAATTTTTTCTCTCCCTTCAGGTCATTAAGTTTTGCAGAAGTTTGTTGGTTGGCATTTCTTTTAAATTTACTGACATTATACATGCTGTATCTAAGATGTGTGCGACAATGGGACTCAAAGGCAATCCATCCATTCCATTCATCTATCCTGAGATCTAGTAACAGCGGTAACAGGTCCAGGGTTTTCAATCTCCGTGAGAAAAATCTGAAAAACCTCTTAAGGGAAGTGTCAAAGGCTCATTCTGCTATTTTTTTCTATCCCAAAGAGCAGTGATTCCTCCAGATTTATAAAACACGTGGACTACACAATCAAACTACCCAGAACCTTTCAACATATTTTCAGGCGCTAAGGGTTCCCCTTCTGCATCTGACCTTGAATAATTATTCCAAGCTTTTTTTCCATCACCTTACAGTAACCCTTCTCTCCAAGGTTAAATTTTCATCCATTCATTCGCCACTCTCATAAATAAAGTGAGTACAATTTATTTTAATTTGATGTTGTTTTACATTTAGAATATTTGCAATATTATATTTCCTCTGCTTTGCACTATTTTTCTCAATTCAATTTTTATAAAAGTTATATATTTTCAAATTTATTTAAGTCAGCTGGATATTTGTCTATGTTTATGTACCTCTTCACCAAATCAATTTCATAGTATGTGCAAAACGATACCTAGCAAACAAGCTTTTCCTGATTCTAGTGCGAATCTCTGAAGACTATTGAATGAATCATTAAAAACACTGAGTTTTCATGACAATTTTACTAAAGTATGTTGGAAATTCATAGGAAATGAAAGCTAGAGAAGGCTGACATATCATTGCCTCTGCTCTTATTTCCACCCTCACATTATCTCAACCTCCAGATTATATCATTGTTCCTTATTGCTTGACTGACAATCGTTTTTCAATTTCCCTTTGAAAGGTGCTGAGTTAGAAATGAGCTTTTGCACTCCTCAAAAACGTATACATTTTTTTTTCTTTAAAAGAAGTGAGCAGTGACTTCAGCCTCCAGCTTTCCCATCCTCTGGAAAAACTCTCAGCTGTCGGTCCCATTTACTTCCGACGGAGGTGGGGACACAAACCTTTAAAGAAATAGCTCACCGCCCTCCTTACAAGTCAGCCAACCATCCTGTACCCCGGCATTCCCAACACCTTGCTTCCTTCATGGAAACAATTGATGTGGCCCCATCCAGGGGAGAGGAAGGGATGGGATTTGGATTATTCCCTGGCCTATCACCTATTTCTATATCCACTTTCAACAAAATTGTCACACGTAATAACTCATCAATCAACAGGATCATCAGTCATCTGTGGTGGGAGGAGGAGGAGGAGAGTGTCTGGACAGAGAAGTGACACAGCATCTTTGCAAAAGGAGCAACAGCTATAAACTCTCAAAGACATAAATGATAAAGTCTGCCCCAGTGTGCCCGTCAAATATATTAATGCCCTTTTCCATTTTTTTAATCAGATTATAACAATTTAAGGAGGTTTATCTATGATTTAGACGGTAGACCTACACAAATAAATGCCTAGTTGATAGTGCATGGAAAATTATGCATACCTCTTAATTTTTAATCTAAAATGTGCAATGTCCATCAGGATTCAGCCTCCTTAACACTGACACCCCTATCATAACCTATGGCTTAGTTGCAAGTTACTGATTATGGCTAACAGTGTTCACCTGTGCTCATTTTCATCACAGTAAAAATCCAGCAACTCTGCGTAGGTCCTAAATGATTAAGAATGTAGACCCAACCAATTAGGAGGGAGAGCAAATGTGACTCAGGTGATTTATAATCAGATGTCACCAAAGCTAAACTTTGAGGTTGATACAGTAAGTAAAATGCTATGTGGTGGAACAACTAACACAGTACATAACCAACAATGCTGCATATATCTGCAGTTAATGTGATGGTGACATGATGCTGGGGGATGCAGTGCGTCCTGTGACAATCAAAGCTTAAGATATTATTTTGTAAACTAACTCTGATTTAGGCTTCTACTCAACTTTCTCTCTGAACTGTCTGCTGTGTTTCTTTGTATTATGATTCTGTTTGTTCGCTACTGTTCTGTAACAAATCCCCGAGGTCGAACATATTTGCTTACAGAATTGACTTCTTTGATCGTTTTAATATTCAGGCATCCTTAAAAGAAAATCCATTATCAGAATAAATCAGATCCAGATAAAGGAATTTATTTTAGTGCAATTCAGTTTATTTATATAGAGCCAGTCCAGAACACACATCATCTCAAGGCACATCAAAGATAAATTCTCTGTCATCCAGATGCATGGCACTGAAACACACGTCTCACATGTGTTAGGACTCCTGTCTGTGTGGTTTGTGTGTTTTGTGTGTTTGTTTTCCTTCCACCACCAGGCGGCGCCTGGTCCTGGTTCGCCTCCTCACACACCTGCGGAGGGTTACCTCATTAACGGAGTGCTCTTAAGCTGCTGACTGCCACTACCTTGACGCCAGAGTGTTTGCCAGTTTTGGGTACTCTAGCCAAGCTGAGTTTTGCTGAGTCAAACTGAGTTTTTGTCACCTGAGTTTTAACCACTTTGTTTTGTCTTTGCCTCTCGGCAGGAAGTTATCCTGCAAACTGGATGTTTCGGACCTTCTCTCCCCTGGAAGGATCTTCTGAGAATCAAGCTGAGCTGAGGATTCAAGGGTGTGATTCTGATGAACCCATTTCCTCAAGGAATGTCTGGGGCTTCTCTCTGAGCAGGGGATTCATCTCCACAACAACCCGTTCAAGTACAGCAGGAAATCTGAGTGGCAGTCAACTTCTCCGTTTATCTACAGACAACCGCATTCTGGGTAAACCCTGTCTGCCCTCCATCTAATGAGATAAACACTGGAACACCCCCACACTGACTGGAGTCAAAGAGTCAACCATTTTTCTGGAAACGTGAGTCTGCACCTATTTCTCCTCTTCAAGTTCGAGAATAAAATTTCCCGCTGAGCCTGAACTAACCGCAGTGTCTTCCCCTCACTTTGCAGTTCCAGTTGAGCAGTGTTCAGAGCTACACTAGATTCATCACAATCTTCTCAACAAACCTGTTAAACTTTCCCCTGGTCTCTCTGTATTGGTTTTCTGCATGTGGGTCCGAGCTCTTGATAAAATC